GGTTAGGTGGCTCACGCCTGTAATCCCAGCACTTTGGGAGGTCAAGGCAGGCAGATCATGAGGTCAATAGATCGAGACCATCCTGGCCAACATGGTGAAACCCCATCTCTACTAAAAACATACAAAATTTAGCTAGATGTGGTGGTATGCGCCTATAGTCCTAGCTACTCGGGAGGCCGAAGCAGGAGAATTGCTTAAACCCATGTGGCGGAGATTGCAGTGAGCTGAGATTGCACCACTGCACTCCAGCCTGGCGCCTGGCACCTGGCGACAGAGCAAGACTATGTCTAAAAAAATAAAATAAAATAATAAATTAGCCAGTGGCAGTGGCCCATGCCTGTGGTCCCAGGTACTTGGGAGGCTAAAGCAGGAGAATCGCTTGAGCCTGGGAGGTAGAGGCTGCAGTGAGCCATGCTCATGCCACTGCACTACAGCCTGGGTGACAAAGTGAGACCTTGTCTCTAAGTCAAAAGAAGCCTTGCTTCTGCCGCTTGAAGCATGTCTGATAGAACTCAGGTTTTCTGATACCTAGTCCTGGAAACTGAGAGAGCCTGATGGATGATGCCTTTGCCATCTAGCTAGCTACCAGGCCAGATTCTGCCAAGCAGATATTAACCTTAACAGCCACAAAAGAATTTACACCTATAAATTCCATGAATTTCCAACATTGTTTTCATGTTGGTGATGCAATTTTTCATAGTACATTAAGAAAAGGACTATACTGCTCACGTTTGTAATCCCAGCACTTTGGTAGACCTTCTGGACTCGAGTGATCTTCCTGCCTCAGCCTCCCATGTAGCTGGGACCACAGGTGGGCGCCACCATGCCCAGCTAATTTATTTTTTTATTTTGTAGAGACAGGGTCTGGCTTTGTTGCTCTGGCTGATCTCAAACTCCTGGGCTCAAGCAATCCTCCCACCTTGGCCTCCTAAAGTGCTGGGATTACAGGGGTGAACCACACCCAGCCCTATTAGGCCTATTAACAAGCTCCTGGTTTCACCAATAGAACGTTTCTGATATTCATTATACTAATGAGCAAAACTTCTGGATATAGATAAAGATATGGATAGTGGAAATGTTCATGATATAGACCTTGATTAGAATACTGGCAGCCTGGGCTGGGTGCGGTGGCTCACACATTTAATCCCAGTCCTTTGGGAGGCCAAGGCAGGTCTGATCTCCTTCAAGATCACCTGAAGTCAGGAGTTCGAGACCAGCCTGACCAACATGGTGAAACCCCATCTCTGCTAAAAACACAAAAATTAGCCAGGCGTGGTGGCACACACTGTGTAGTCCCAGCTACTCGGGAGGTTGAGACAGGTGAATCACTTGAATCCAGGAGCTGGAGGTTGCAGTGAGCGGAGATCGTGCCACTGCATTCCAGACTGGGCGATTGAGTGAGACTCTGTCTAAAAAAAAAAGCATACTGGCTGCCTCTGGAACTTAAACGAGGATACACATGAACACACATAGTGCTTGAGTAGTTAGACACAAGGGGGCACTAGACATACATATTTATACCACGCATGTTCTGAAACAAATAAGGGCATCTAGCCTGGGTCCAAGGAAAAGTCCACCTGCCCACTCTGCCATTTGTTTCTAGTCCAGGAACTCTGAGATTTTTTTTTTTTTTTTTTTTTTTTTTTGAGACGGAGTCTCGCTCTGTCACCAGGCTGGAATGCAGTGACATGTGGCACAATCTAGACTCACTGCAACCTCTGCCTCCCAAGTTCAAGGGATTCTCCTGCCTCAGCCTCCGGGTAGCTGGGACTACAGGCGTGTGCCATCACGTCCAGCTAATTTTTGTATTTTTAGTAGAGATGGGGTTTCACCATGTTAGCCAGGATGGTCTCGATCTCCTGACCTTGTGGTCCACCTGCCTTGGCCTCCCAAAGTGCTGGGATTACAGGAGTGAGCCACTGCACGTGCCCAACTTTTTTTTTGGGGGGGGGAACATGGCCTGGCTCTGTCACCCAAGATGGAGTGCAGTGGCATGATCAGCACTCACTGTAGCCTCAACCCCCTGGGCCCAAGTGATACTCCTTACTCAGCCTCCCGGGTAGCTGAGATGATCAATGTGTACCACCAAGCCCAGCTAATTTTTTTTGTAGATATAGGGGTCTCCCTATGCTGACCAGAGTGGTCTCAAGAGGGACTGTGATTGGTGACCTTGGGGGTGATCTCTCTGAGCTTCACTTGTTTCTTCTATTAAATGGGGATATAATAGCTGGGTGTGGTGGTGTGCATCTGTAGTCCCAGATACTCTGGAGGCTGAGGCAAGAGGATCACTTGAGCCAGGAGGTTGAGGCTGCAGTGAGCTGTGGTTGTGCCACTGCCCACTAGCCTGGGTGACAC